CTCTCTCTCTCTCTTTCTCTCTTGTTACTTGTGCACGCTTTTTATTATGCATATGGATGGCCATATATGAAAATTGGCCAATTTTAATTACGTTTTTCGTTTCGCGTGTGCACAAATCTTTTTGTATTTAATTGAAATCAATCAGAAGAACTATTCGCTGCTTGGCTGGCTTTTGCTACCCAAAGACAAACATTAATCTGTCCTATAGATCTATGTATGAGTATATATGTATATTTGTTTAAATTGGCCATCACATGCTGCTACAACATGACGTATTAGTGATTTATTAATTGTATTCGACAAATCTATTTTGAATCGATTTATGTGAATTGAATTGACATTTAGACAAATACCCTGTACATCTATGTTATCCAATGGGACATAATCACATGCTAGCTAATGGCTGATGGCCAACAAGACGTATACGTTAAGTATGAAATGCAGTTGAGTACAACAAACATATTGTTGTGTACTAAATGAATATTTATATGCTGTAGGTATTCTGTATACCTGCAAATTCTGGAATAAGCCAGGATGACAAACTGTTCTAATAATCCTGAGGTATATGTGAATGCAATAGAAAAAGTGAACAGAATTCATATTCATTATAGTAGACAAACGTCAATGTATGTGTTTATTATCGACTTTTAGATATTGCAGATACCCTGAGATTTGAGATTGATTAAATGTACGATTGCTGTACAACCGAGCGTATGCGTGATATATTAAATAAACTAAATTAAATTAGACAACAAAATGATTGATGTGTATTGAATTGAATATTTTATTTAACAAATTCTCTGCTTATATAAAAATCGCATAAAATGTCATATTTATTCAACTCTTCTCCTTTCATCACCGAAAAATCATTGACAAGCCACAAATTAATTTAACCAACAAATTCGCCATGAAATTGCTTTGATTCTAATTGATTTCGCAGAATTTACATTTGCCTCTAATTGGAGCTAGGCTAAAATCAAATATTATTCATGCATAATTTGAAATATGTATTATATAATATGCCCTGTCTAATTTGTCTTTTGATATGATAAATTTTGTCTAAAACTTTCACAAATAACACAAGAGCCACAAATTTGAATAATGTCAAATGACGATGAGGCCCACTTGACGCCCCAGCTGAAGGAGCACTATGAGAAGGAGGCGGAAATTTTGGGTATGTTAATGGATATGGAGAAACGATATTGCGACTTCTATCAGTTCTATCAATGCGAATTGGAAACACAAAAGATTATAACCGAAAGACTCTGGCTACTGACTCAACGATATTTGATATTGATTAGCTCAGCGCCCGGCTGTCGCTACCCCGAGGTGTATACGCTCTCCGCCGAGGAGTCGATAATCAATGAGTATGAGGAAAAGTTCGAGGTGATGCGATCATCAAAGTAAGATGTTAACCTTTATCTATACAATGCACAATATATAAGATATAGCAACATCCCATAATAGCAACAGCATGAAGCATGGCATTTTGAACATTCATCTGGAGTGCAAAAAGTTCTATAAGGCCTACGATCAGCTGGATCGCAGTCTAGAGACGCCGTTCATACTGGGCGATAAATATCATCGCAGCATCGAATCGCACAAGCTCATGATGATCGATATATTCAATTATTACTATGCGGCCGTGCTGAAAATGAAATGCTATTTGCATCAATTGGATCCGATGAGCCTGGAGAGTGTCGAGGACTATCGCGAACTGCTCAAGGAGGACAGCTCGAATGAGGAATTCGCTGAGCTCGTGATGAGCACATTTGTCTACTGCAAATGCCTCCAGCCCGCACCCACCTGTCCCATCAAGAAGCTCAAGTGCAGCCATAAGAAAATCGAGGATTTGACATATGTTAGCCGAATATAAGTGAGTCGACGACTGCCATTATTGATTAAGGTTCCCAGGTCTAATAATAATAAATGTACTTATTTATATTTTCAGACAGCAGCGCCCTTGCCATTGCCCTTATAGATCTTACAGCTTAACGCAGTCATTAACTTGGCCATTAACTGTATTATGTCCATTGTCTGGCCTCACATTAAATGTTATTAAAAGCTCTCAATGCTCCACAATAATTGTTCATGTATTTTAACTGTACTTAGTATACGAGCAGTGAACTCTCCCCTCCCCTACTCCCCACCCGAATTCATCTTTCGTCAGTCTGTCAATATTGTTTGTCTCTCATTACAGAGCAATTTCCATTCAAGTTTTATTTTGCATTTGGTTTATAATTTCGTTCGCTGTCGCTGACAGCGATTTCCCTGTGAACTTTCTGGGTAAATGTCAAGTGGAAATGCGTAGATTCTGGCAGCAGCGAAATACGGGTGTTTTAGAGAGTTGTTGAAGGTCATCTGATAATTTACGCTTCACCTGCTAAATTAATACAAATTGGTTTACAGCGAAAATAAATTGCCAGATAATTATGTTTAAATATGTAAATTTATTGCAAAAATTTAATGTGAAAAACATCGAGTGGGAGTACAGACTGACTGCTTGCTTTTCATGAAAGCATTAAGTATTTAACATTCATGCCTGGGCTTGCATTTTCTACTCTATCGAATAATGTTCTATTGCAGTTAACTCTTTTATTTCATTGTTGTAATAAATAATAATACAAAATGTTAAAATTAAATATTTGTGGCTTAGTATAATAATATTTTTTAAATATAAATATAGCCAAAATATTCATTCTTGATTTGTATAAATTTGGAAAATTAAATATATAATAGAATTTTCAATCAAAACAAAAGTTTTCTTGAAGAGGTTTTCAAATGATACCATAATAAATCGTTTGAAAAAAAATAAATACAAATATAATATTTCTTGTTTCTTATTATATATCTTATTTCTTACTTAGTGATATTATTTTTGTAAATTTGAAGTAATATAGCCCAAAGACAATTTAAAGAGCTAATTTAGCTATACAATTTTGGTAAGACTTTTCTCATACCCCCGGGTGTCTAGGGTAATTTCCATTGTACGCTTTGACATTTGAAGCTGCCGAAATGTTGTTTAAAACACTGCTGCACCGTGTTTGTTTAAAACAATGTCCTTTTTGGTGCAGAATCGATGGCCACATTCAACTCTGAACTTTTGGCTGACGGCAACAAGAAATTCTGCTGTGTGAACAGAGGCTTCTGAGCGAGCAGCCGCAGCAGCCGCAGCATTGAGCAGCATATCAAGCGTGTTTAACAGGAGCAAATATATACACACGCACGTACACACACACACACACACAGAGACAGTTGCAAAGACAGTCACAACAAATGGCATACAAAGTAGCAGCATTCAGATGAAAAAGGAAAATAGAATTGAGCACTTGTAGCTGCCGCCTACACACACGCACACACACACACACGCACACAAAACAGCCACTCCTCCCGCCTCTCGAGCAATGGCACAACGAACCCATTGAGGCAAGTGGCTGCCAACCACGCCCCAGCCGCCCACGCCGCAATCAGAGCGCATTTGTATCTGAAACATGGCCCTTTGAGGTGGTCGAAAGGACACTGCTGTCGTTCAAGGATAACACGTTGGACAAGACAGACACAATCACGCCCACCCACCCACACACACACACACAGTCATGTTAAGTATATGCATAGCGTCTCTATAGGATATATTTTTAACTATAGCATAGAAATCAGTGGCGTCGCGTGCGTCATTCGATTAGAACTTAGGACACTGACTATATATATTATATGTATATGTATGTTTTTTTTTTTCACTTTTCACTGGTTTTATTTATCTTTCGTATATTTGGATAAGCAGTATTAACGTGCTCCAAAGCTCTAGACCATGTTTATCATAATGACGTCGTTTGACATTTTCTTCACTCTGCCAATGTGGAAAAGCGCAAAATTGTTGCTGTTGTTGTTGTTGTTGTGCGTGCTGGGTTTATTTTTAGCACGCTCGCAGCTAGGATAATTGAAAAGCAAGCACAACTGAGCAGCACACAACAGGATATGGCAGCACCCATTGTTGGCCAACGCCCTCATATCATATTAATTGAAAGCAAAGGCAAAGGCAAAGGCAAACACAGAAAAAAAGGGAATCTCTGCTTCCAGTTTTTCTACATAATATATTGTTAAGCGGCTTTAATTGAATCTATTTATAAAGCTATACTCGCCTTTATGGCGGGATTGAATAGCACAGATT